GGAGCTGGCTGCCGGGGATGCTCCCTGCAGACAGAGGCACGCCGGGCTGCCCCTTGCTCCAGCCCAAAACCCGAAGAGAAGCCCATCGAGGCTCAGCGAGCAGCCCAGGGGGAGCCCTCTGCCCTCCCGGGCCCCCGGCATCGCGCCCTGCTCCTGCGGGAGGGACCGCGGCATCGCCTGGACCATGGCCCTGGGCCACCACCTGCAGCTGCAGAGCGAGAAGCGAGGGTGCCGAGGTGCTGCTGGACAACAGACCAAACCCTGCCTGCTCCTCCCTCCCTTCGGTCTAGCATGACGCTAAGAGAAATGCTTGCATACGAATTGTTATTTGCTGCAAATAATCGTTGTTGTGGAAGCTTCCGTATTAAATCACGCTGCAGAAAATTTTTATGGATAGAATAGCAAAAAGAAACTTCTTTTTCATGTGTGTTTGCATTTCAGCAAAGCTTTGAAATCCAGATCGGTTAGTGCATGCAGTGTGCATCTGCCTTCTGGGGGCACGTGCTGAGCCTGGGCCACCGGCCATTGCAAAACCTGTTGTGGCAGTTTGACACTCGCTGCTTAATTACGGGGCATCGTTACGCTCTGCGGCCAGGGCTCACCGGGCGGCAGGGCCTGGGGGGGCAGCTCTGCTGCGTGTGGCCCGGTCCCGCTCCCGCAGCATCCCGCGGGGCTCGCCAGGGTGTGCCTGCGGGAGCGGGGGGAGGCGCGGGACACTGCCCGCTCCCCGCCACCCCAGCTCGGGTGAAAACACAGGGATGAGGGGAAAAAAGTCCAGCTCTTTCCTCCCCTGCGTTGTCAACTGATTTGTTCAGTCCATCGTCCCTGAAGCCGTACTTTAACTTTGAAGCATTTAAACACTTCCTTGGCTCTGGCCTTAAGTGCTTTGCTGAATCAGGGCCCAGGAGGTCTCGCTGTTCAGAAGTTATTCTCAGTTGCATTCATGTGCTTTTTTTTCCCTCGGCTTCCAACAAAGACTTGGAGCCAAAGGCTCTTCCAGTGCCATGCCAAGGACAAGAAAGAGCCAGATTTTCTATTGGTGCTCTCCCAATGGCTTGGGATTGTGGCCGTCCTTTATTCCACAGCAGTGCAGCACCCATGCTCTAGCAACACCAGGCTGAGAGGTGGATGGAATGATACAAATAAAAATAAATTTAAAAAAAATATATTTAGATAATTGTAGGGGTAAAAAAAAGTCTCCAAACCACTTTATCATGAGTATTTTTTAAAGCTTTTTGTGGGAATAAAAATAATTAAAAGCAATAATGGGTTTGCATTCCTTTTAATTTTTTTGTTCTAGTAGTTCACAGCCTGAACCCAAAAAACCCCCAAGATTCTGATCTCCCCACCGCCGCGATCTGTGGGCTCCCCGCACGTGGCGCACACACCGCTCACGTACCCTTCCACTGCCAGAAATCTGGAGCTCCTCTCCCCGTCCCCGTTTTGCCGCAGCCCGGGGACAGCGCGGGAGCTCGGCATCCTCGGCTGGAGATGGCAGCGTCCCCGCGCGCGGGGGCACGGCCCCGCATCCCCAGCCAGTGACCGCAACCAGGGCTCGCGGGGCAGTGCCCTGCTTCTCCCAGAGCCTCCTCCTCGCCGGTGCTTCAGTCCCGGTAAAATCCATCGCCGCGTTGCCTTGCCTCCCTGGCAGACGGAGGATGCACCAGGCCCCCGGCTTCGCAGTCAAATGGGACACACACCCCCCTTGTTTTGTGCAGGAGCTAATTGCCCTCAAGGAGAAAGAAGGTGAACACGGGAGGAAAATGCTATACGCTTTCCTAAAGATTTACACCAGTCTGGTAAAATACATGGAGACCGAATGGGCTGGGTCATCTTCAGCAAATGTGCTCACTTGAAGCTACTGGGAGAAAAACCAAAGGGCTGCCAGGATATGCAAGGTGAAAATGTACCTGTTGAGGACAGCAAAAAAAAAAAGTACATATTTCAATGCATTTTTCGTATTCATTCCCAACATGTAAGGCCAAATCACATCACCCACTGGCGGCGTGCAGGCCTTGCTTCTGCACATCCCTGGCTGCAGACCCCGGGGGCGGCGGGAGCAAAGGCAGGAGCCGGCGCAACCCAGTGGGGACGCTC